TCAACCAACAAATCACTAATTACACGGATACTCAACTGTCCAAGATTGCCGACGAACTGGTAGAACGTCGTAGACGAAAGATTGTACAATATTGCTATTTCTTAAATGATCACGAGGCCAATGGGCCCCGAAATGCCAAGACGCTGATTCGTCTTGTCAAGCAAAAACTGTCGAATCGAAAGGAAGAGGCACGCTTGGTACAACATTGGAAGCCGGATGCTGTCGCTCCGTCCATCTCTTCCATGTTTGCCAAAAGCAGCAGTAGCAGTAGCAGTACCACCCCGCCGCTCAAGGGTGCCAAACGACCCTTTCATCAAGCCATTGGAACGGCAGGCGAGACCAAACCGTCGCCGCGTCCGATTAGCGCCTTCTTTACGTCTGGAGGGGGCTCCTCAGCAGGGGCAAACAAGATGACTACGCCGCCCAATTCCAAACGTTCACGTTCCAACCCACCATCATCCGAAGCGAAAAAGGGGAGTATTGAAAGCTTCTTTGCAGCCAAGAAAAAATGAAATGTCATCCACTGAAGCGCGGGATGCAAAACCATTCATTCGCTTTGCGCTGAACGCTCAGAACAAAAGACGATGCACTCGGTGCCTGCGGCCAAACGCATGTGATAATCCTAGGTCTTTTGATGGATCATCGTGGCGGTGTTGGTAGTTTGAGATTTTTCTGTACCGCTAAATATGTTTAGCGTGAGAAAACGATGGAAGAAAATATCGGTCGTTGCTCAACACCGTCACATTTCTCAATCGAAATAAATCTACCTTGCCGTATCTTTTCCCTGCAAAACCGGAAGAAGCCAAACGATCTCATTTGTTCAATCAACGGATAACTCGACAATACGCTGTGCACTTGGTGGATCACAATTTTCAACTAACAACAATGTTGGCAGGACAGAGAAAATCAGAGATTGCACCAAGTGCTTGCATGTTTGACAGCGGCATAGAAAGGATCAAGCCAGATAAGATGCGTCTCTGCTTTGACGAAGATGAGAACTTCAAAGAAACACAGCAGCCATTGGAAGGAGGTGTAAATTTGTCCATTGCTCTTCAGGAAAACCACCACCAAACGCCCAACTCTGTCTTTGATCACTTGGTGGATTGCTTGTACCAATTTGACAAGATTTCTGAACCATACTGGTATCAGATAGGCGGATCGAAGAAAAGGAAATGTTACCCGACCATCGGGGCATTCCATCAGTTGTTCTTTTTACCAAAAGGACGGGGCTTGGATATGCTATGTGAATCTGGGCTTATTGAAATGCGTAACACCGGTGAATTGCGATTCAAGAGGGTTGCTACTGAAGTATTGCAAGCGAAGATTCCTTCCTGCGAGTTTATGTTACCTGAATACTGGCAAAGAGTCTGCTACCTCCGAATTGGTTCTGCCAAGTGTTGCAATAGGGAAAGGGTGACTTATTCTTTGAGCCATCAAATGAAAATGAGACTTCGAAGACCAAAATTTGCTTTGCCTCTATATCCCATCGTCCATACGTTCAGAAGTCAATATCTCGCAAAGGTGATGAGAGATGCGGATGGCAATCGGGATACTGCTCCTACTCTTGCGTGTGGCAACGAAGCAAGGGCGCTCCGAACTATAACAAACGAAATCCCACTAACGGAGATCCAACCCAAGAGGGATAGTGTTCTTTCTACTCCTGTCGCTGGCAAACAAGAAAGGGCGCTCCGAACTGTAACAAACGAAATCCCCCAGATGGAGATCCAACCCAAGAGGGATAGTGTTCTTACTACTCTTGTCGCTGGCAAACAAGCAAGGGCGCTTCGAAACATAACAAACGAAATCCCCCAGACGGAAATCCAGCCCAAACGAGTTCGAGATGCCAATCTAACACAAAAAGGTGGCACTTTTGCCCTATGAAGTAGTTGCGGCATCAAGCTGCGCATTAATTTTAACCTTAGAGTATGATGCACAACGAGCCCTTCCTTGTACTACAATCCCACGGCTACTACCGTCCTTGTTGCTATTTTGTGGTTTAAAAAATATGGATTTCTTGCGGTCCAATTTACAACTAGGCTATCAAATTGGAGCAGCTTCTTCTTCTTCCAATTTTCTTCGTTGGCTGTTATGCGTTAGTTGGAATGTTTGTCCTGCATCTGACGAAGCCAACAAGCGCCTACTGATATAAGTGAGGACTCGACCTGCCTTGTATGTTTACATACATATTCGAAGAAATCGACCTTGGTGCCTTCATGGAAATGGACCAACAATGGACAACTGGGATCACAAGTCCCCAATGCAATGGTAGCATGTATTATACCGCAATATGATATGTGCATGCCACAATATTTTTTAAAAAGCGTCTACACCTTTCGAACCTCTTGGTGGCGTTGGAAACATCATACATTTTTCTACAGAAAATATTTTTAGCATGAGTAAACGATGGAAGAAAATAACGGTCGTTGCTCAACACCGTCACATTTTTGTACTTCACCGTATCTTTTCTCTGCAAAACCGGAAGAAGCCAAACGGTCTCATTTGTTCGATAAACGGATACACGTGTACGGAATACGCTATACACTTGATGGATCACAATTTGCAGCTCTATCAACAACAGCAATGTTGGCACGAAAGAGAAAATTAGAGAGCACACCACCATCAAGCGCTAACATGTTTGACAGTGGCATGATGATGGAAAGCATCATCAAGAAGCCTAGTAGTCATAAGATGCGTCGCGACTGCTC